GACCAAAATCGAACGACCTAACCATGGATATATATTAATATTTTATATTTTAAATATAATTTTTAATATAAAAAAGTGGGAATTTTCCCATATTTCTTAGTCGAAAATGTTTTATATCATAAATCTAATTTTTAAATTTATTATTTAATAATCACATTGTAATTTTTTAAATTAAATTAAAATTTTAAGTTTAAATCTTTTGAACAGACTGACCAAACCAAAAAATCGACCCAAACCAATACAACTTGAGTGGGTCGATTTTCACAAAAGGTTAGTTAGTTTCACCTAACCAACACCCTAAACTGACCAAGTCAATTTGGTGACCAAAAAGCCTACAACCGCATTGAACCAACTCATGAACACTCATAATTTCTGCTAAATTATTAGTCTTATCTCTAATAAATAACAATAGTTTAATCTCCAATAATTATTGAAAATATATAGCAAGAATACACAATTATTGAAAATATATATAATGAAAACTACAATAATTACAAAAAATTACAAAAATACAATAAGTACTAAAAATATATTAACTTAGTCAATAAATAGTATAATCTCAAATAATAGTTTAATCTCTATTAAATATTAATTAATAACTTATAACATAAACACAATAAATACAATAAGTACAATAAGTACAATAAATCAAATTTAAAAATTTCAACTATAGTAATTTAATCTCCAATAATTATTAAAAATTTTCTATTAAATAACTAAACAAAATAAATTTATATATACTTATTGAAAATACATTTATCACAAAAGACAATAAATATTAATTTTAGTATATATAATTATATAATAAATATAGATTAAGAGTTTAAAATATTATTAATAATTTTTTTTTGAAAGTTACTTTCTCGAATTATTACTTGATATAAGTGAAATTAATTATTTACAATACTATGTAAAAATATTAAATTATTATTAATTTCAATATTATGTTATAATTATTTTTCTACTTTTTAGATTTTTTAAATTTATTACGTAATTTATTTATTTTAACTATTTAAAATCTAGTTATGTTAATTATTTTATTATTTAAATCCTTAAATAATATGTAAAATATTTACATTTTAAAATATTAATTGTATACTGAATTTAATTATCCATAAAATCATAATTTATACTATGATTACATAATTTTATTATTAAACTTGTAATATATTAAATTATTATTAATTTAAATATTATATTATAATTATTTTTCTACTTTGAAGAAATTTTTAAAATTGATACATAATTTCGTTATTTTAACTATTTAAAATCTAGTTATGATAAATATTTAGATAATCTATAAAATATTTAAATTTTTTTGTTATTTGAATTTAATGTATTTAAAGCTATTGCATATTATTAGATATTTAAAAAAACATTTAAATTGATAATTTAGAAAAACATAATTTAAATTGTTATTACATAATTTTGTGATATATTTTGTAAAAGTATAAAATTATTTTTTTGTGTTCTTAATAAATATTTTAAAGTTATTTTACAACTTTGTTAGAATATTTAAATAATTCTTAATTTTTTAATCCAAATTTTCTTTAGATAGATATAGATAAAAAGTAGGGGAGAGGATAAATAAGAATTAGAGATAATTTAGTAGAGAAACTCTGTACTAAATTCGAGATAATTTTGGAGATAAATAGGAATTAGAAATAATTTAGAAGATAAATAGGAGTTAGAGATAATTTTGGGGAAAGTGGGGGAGGTAGTTTATGAGTAATTTTACGAGAGATTATTTAGGTTATTGAGAAAGTGCTTCCCATTGATTGTTTCAAAAATGACATGGAATTAAAAAAAATGAGAAAATAGATAAGTAGCTTTTCTAAAAGGAGAGACATGCTGACGTGACAGGACCAGTTTTAAGAGAAGCTACTTATTTATTTTCTCATTTTTCTCATTTTTTATTTTTTTAATTCCATGTCATTTTTTAAACAACCAATGAGAAGCACTTTCTTAATAACCTAAACAATCTCTCGTAAAATTACTCATAAACTACCTCCCCCACTATCCCCCACTTTCCCCAAAATTATCTCTAATTCCTATTTATCTTCTAAATTATCTATAATTCTGATTTATATCCACAATTGTCTCTAATTTATTAGAGAGTTTATCTCCTAAATTATCTATAATTCCTATTTATTCTCTCCCCTACTTTTTATCTATATCTATCTAAAGAAAGTTTAGATTAAAAAATTTAAGAATTATTTAAATATTCTAACAAAACTATACAATAACTTTAAAATATTTATTAAAAACACAAAAAATAATTTTATACTTTTACAAAATATATCACGAAATTATGTACTAACAATTTAAATTATGTTTTTCCAATTATCAATTTAAATGCTTTTCAAATATTTAATAATATGTAATAGCTTTAA